CATCTCTCGGTGAGTAATTCCCATTTCTTTGTTTGTTCCTCGGTCTCTTGATGAAGGACACAGGCGTGTTCGAAAATTCCGAACATAAAACCTTTCTTTCCGTACTTCATTTCTGTCATATGGTTTAATAATTAATAAATGTTTTTTCATACTGATTATATTGGTAACCTTTCAATTGCCCTTGTTTTATTAACTAGCCTATCTATTATATATATATATATATATATATATATATATATATATATATATATATATATATATATATACGTATCTATTTTATATATATATATATATACATATTTTATATATACGTATGGTGTTGGCACAATGAATGTTTTGAAACTCTAAGTCGGCACTTAGCAAAAATTTAGTCGAGATAATGTAATATGCTTACTACTTTGTTCAAGAGATCAGAACGGAGATAGGGACGCCTATCGTCCGGTTCACACTCCTCCCCGATCTTTTGAAAAGGAGTAGATGTTTATTCCTTGTTTACTGTTTGGATTGGGTTTCCATTTCCTTCTAAATTCTTCTCATTCTCTTTCACTTCCAGTGTCTCCCTTGCGTCTTAGTGGCATTATCGCCTTGTTTGGGGTGAATTGATTAAAACAGCTGTTAAATCTATAGACTCCCCTACTTTGTTTCCTGTAGGCAACAGGTTTTTATTTGCTATAGTTGCCTCCCCAACTGCTTTTGGATTCAGAAATGTCATTCATTTAAACTGCTTAACAACGAAAACTAAAGAATCAGTTTGCCCTGCTGTTAATCTCGTGGAGATCTGGGTGGGGGTAGAGAAGAGATGAATTCAGAATTTTTCCAAAGGGGCCCGTGTGGAAGCGAACCTAACGTCCCCGACTCAAATTCAAACTGGACAATATCCTTCCCAGTTCTGTATCGATAACCTCTACTCTACGAGCATATCCTGGAGATAAAGTGATAATTATATTGAAATATCTATTTTACTTGCATCTATGCAGTCAACTTGATGTGTTCGAGAGATTTTTTTTGGTTTTCTTAACGCAAAGAGAAATTCTAGTTAAAGCAAAACTTCAAATTGCAACCTAAAGAGCCAGATAACTGGCTAAAGAGGTGCTATAAGAACAGAAAATATATGGCCTACAACATATATATATATATATATATATATATATTGCTCTACTTTGCTTCGTTATTTTCACTTTACTTGTGCGGGAGTTTTTTTTTTTGTGGGGGGACTCTGAACTTAGATTATAGACGATTATTTTCGCCGCAAGTACGTGTTCTTAGTTCTTTCTTTTTTATCCTCCCCCCCCCTTGAGTATTGGTTTGTTCATTTACAAGCTAAAACACATAAGGTTTTGCCGGACGAGTATAGCTGCTTATATTTATATTATTATTATTATATATATATATATATATATATATATATATATATATATATATACCTGTTTCATTAAAAGCGACAGATAAGGTACTGCGGCTAGTTTTTTATTTAATTTTTCTTTGTCCAAAAAACACTCTTCCTTATAGAACTCAATAAAGTAAAACGGACAGTAATTAACAATGGCTTTCCTAACCACCTTATAAACCACCAAATTAGACTATTCCTTCCCAAAGTAAATAACAACGATAGTGAACATACATTCAAAGATTACATAAATGTTTTCTACAAAAACCAAATGCACATTAACTACAAACAAGATAAATCTTCACTTAAAAATATTATAAAGAAATACACTACACCAATTGCCCCGAATAAAACAAATCAAATTAATTATCTATTATAAAAAATTTAAGACAGCCAACCTTATCCTCAAAAATAACAACACACCAACTAAGTCAAAATGACAACGAACGAACATTATCTATGATTTCAAATGCCTCTTAAGGAACTGTGTTCCTGATCAAACCGAACTCATAAATAATTACATCGGTCACACAACTACATGCCTATCAAGACGTCTTACCTTACACCTATCCGACCAGAGCTCGGTTTGAACCCATTTAAACACACACACACAAACCCACAAGACTCCTTTCAAAACATAAACATAATAACATCATCCACCTGTAAAAAAAGATTAAAAATAATGCAATCCCTAATAATGAAAAAGAAAAGGTCAACTCTTAACAATATTAGCTACGAACTAGGCCACACATGTGCTAACCGTATTCGGAAAATAAAATAAAACATCTCTATCATACACTAAAAACGTACACATAATGTACACGCTCAATAAAACTGAAAAAATAAAATCATCCTTGATAATGGCTAAAAGAACAGCTGAAAGCGCTTGGAACTATAAAACATTTGGACCGTTTCTACACAATCTGTGTACAAAACAGAAAGCACTTGTTCGAACACAAGAAAAATTAAATAAAAAGCTTAGCCGCAGTACTTTGTCTGTCGTTTTTAATGAAGCATGCATAAATGAAGGACTGCTGCACACACACACACACACACACACACACACACACACTATATATATATATATATATATATATATATATATATATATATATATAGTTTTAAAGTGTGCTATATTTATGGGATAAAGTGCTCGATAGAGCGTATGTAAATATAAAAGTGAACATTGAAGTCAACACTCAGAGGAGACAGGCTATTTCACACACACACACACACACAAACACAAAACACACACACACACAAAAATATATATATATATATATATATATATATATATATATATATATATATATATACTCACACACCCTTGTGCAAATTAATTGAAACAAAACAAATAATTTCGTTATTATTTACTTTTTTTCATATTTTTCCAATGAAACATGCCCCAGTGCACATGTTTGTACTTTGTATGTCCATTCCACAAAGTCATTCCTTGCAGATTGACCACAGATTCTCGATTGGATTTAAATCAGAAGAGTTTCTGGGCCAATCTATAATACTTTCATTTGCTCACTGGTATGACTTGCCAGTGTGTTCATGCAGCATTACAATTTTCATACACTTCCTTGGAGTAACGTCCATCACAGATAATGGCCATAGGACAACTAATCGACAGTTGAGACAATAGTGTCTGGGTCTGATGAAAATCTGATGCACTCACGGATGATGCAATATTTTTCAAGGCTAAACAAATTTCATCATACATCCCGAAATTGCATTCATATTACTGCACACCAATGCAATTCTGAGGAAAAATAGGAACCGATTACACCTTTTTTTTCTAAAATTGACCGAATGGTGAAAGAAAGGAAAGTGAAGCAGTTGTTTAAATTAATTTGCGCAAGGGTGTATGTAGTCTATCTATCTATCTATCTATCTATCTATCTATCTATCTATCTATCTATCTATCTATCTTAGTCTGTTGTTTATCTATCTATCTATCTATCTATCTATCTATCTATCTATCTATCTATCTATCTCTGTCGGTTATCTATCTATTATGCATACACGTTTGTGCTTGTATGCGTGTGTGTATGCTTGTGTCGTTGCGTGTGTTTAATCGCGCATCTATGTTCACTGTTTTTGGATATGTGCATGAGAAAAACTTGTTTTAAAAATGCCCTACACCATGTGAACAGAAAAAACATTCAGGTGAGTATTTTGATGAAATAAGGCAAAAAAAAATATCTATATCTACATAAAAATGAGTCTTCTTATCAAACATGTGACTGTGGCTTTGTGTAAGAAAAAGGACAAAAGACTCACCTCGTTATCGGGATATATAAGCAAATATTTAAGGCTTCTTTCATTGTGGGTTCTTGGCTAAGAATCCCTGCAAGAGAGTGTTGAACACGCATGAAGTCAGGCTAGCATACGAGAGGAAACTCATAAAATCATGTGAACGAAAACAAGAAAAAAATCTGTTTAAACCGGAATTATCGAAGATAGACACAGACTAAGATAAACTTATAAGAACTGATTAACGGTGACCTGATAGATACAGTCTTCGAAACAAAAAGGCATGACAGATATGCACAGATTGAAATGTATTTGAAGAGAATCAGATAGAAAGACTGATAGTAATACGATGGGGTACTGAAACCGTCTCGACCCAATTACAAAGGGTTTCCGAAATAGCTTTTCTCGTTAAGAGTTTTTCAGCACCTCCTTATATCTTCAGCAAAATGTTTTACATATAACATTATCTATCTATCTATCACTCTCTGTGTATATATATATATATATATATATATATATATATATATATATATATATATATATACGTTTCATTAAATAATATAGACAAGTGTTGTCTATTTATTTTATGTAAATTCTTTTCATAACGTCTGATAAGTTTAATAACATTATGATTAAACGAAGAAAGAAAATCACAATATTGATCCATATTTTTTAATCCAATTTAAGTTTTCGACTTACATAAGCCATTATCAAAGATGACAATTACTGTACAATATATTAAGCAATACACGGGCAAGACAGTGATGATAGTCTGTTATTGTTTACATGAATGATTTCCATACTACGATAAACACGTGCATATAAGACGCTGGAAGCAAAAATCGCACCGCAGCTCATGACGTTCGTGTATTGCTTAATATTTACTTTATTATTTCTTGTTGATTGTTATGATTAAGTTTACCTGTGCTTACGTCTTCACATGGCCTGAAGATTACATTTAAACAGGAAACAGACTGTCGCCGCTGGGTGTTTAACTCAATGTCCACTTTTTTATTTACATACGCTCGATTCATGATATTGAGCACTTTAATACATAAATATAGCATACCGCAAAACTATATTTCTCCTAGATATATGTATATACATATATATATGTTTGTGTGTGTGTGTGTGTGTGCGTGTGTCTTTGTATATATATATATATATATATATATATATATATATATATATATATGTGTGTGTGTGTGTCCGTGTGTGTGTGCGTGTGTGTGTGTGTGTGTTTTATATTTATATAATTTCAAGAAATGAAAGGCTCCTAAACAATTAAATAATGTACATTAATTATATGGTAGAAATACTCTTCATAAGTCTAAAACCTGACGTTGGAACGTTTCTATAAACCGGCCAGTAAAGATTTCACAGAGACACGGTAACAGATAGATAGATAGATAGATAGATAGATAGATAGATAGATAGATAGATAGATATGAACAGACCGAGAGAGAGAGAGAGAGAGAGATAGACAGACAAATAGAAGAACATAGATAGATAGATAGATAGATAGATAGATAGAGAGAGAGAGAGAGAGATAAACAACAGACTCAGATAGATAGATAGATAGATAGATAGATAGATAGATAGATAGATAATGTGAATAAATTGACAGCTCGATAGAGATATACCAAAAGATTGTTGTAACTAAACTGAATTTGGTAGAAATAAATATAAATAAAAACAGACTGAGATAGAAAGAAAGAAAGAAAGAAAGAAAGAAAAAAAGAAAGAAAGAAAAAATAACGAAAGAAAGAAAGAAAGAAAGAAAAGGAATTTAGTAGATGCACAACAATAGAAAACTGCGTGAGACAAGGACATGTTTTCTTTCCTAATCTGTTCAACAACAAGGCAATCCTAATTGAACAGGCGATTCTAATATGACTTATTCTCAGGGCAGGGCACACTCTTAACAACATAATATACGTAGTTGACACTGTCTTGATGACAGACAAAAAAAAAACTACAGTACCTCCGAGACAAAGTAGTAAAGGAAAGCGAGAAAAAATATTTCGCGATCAACTGTAAGAATGCAAAAAAATATGGTCGTCAGCAAGAGAAATAAGCCTTAGATGCAAACTATGAATAAATGTCAACATCAAACAAATACAAAAGTTTCAATATCTGGGAAGAGTTGTAACAGAGGATGTATGTGACAGTGAAACCCGAATGGGTATCCGATTAACGAAAAATGCCTTCCAAAAGCTAAGCAAAGTACAATGAAAGAGAAACATCTCAATAGAAACAAAGAAAAGAGTGCTGGATTGCTATGTAGTATCAATGCTCTTGTGCAAAAATGAATGCCGCAGTAGAAACTGGAAATCTGGTTCTACAGAAGGGTACCATGGACAGAGCGAGTAAGGAGCGATGAAGTCATAAACAAACTGGAAATTAAACTCAGAATCTGAAAGATAGAATTGAAATTTCTTGGATGCACAATGAGGAAGGATGGCTTTAAAAAATTAGCCGTAACGGTTTATATCGAGGGAGTGAAGGATCTGGAAAAACAGCGGGTCACATATCTGACGAGCTTGTGCGAAACAGCTGGCGAGTGCCATGGCAAAAATAAAAAAATGGAGCTCGGGGCCATGGTGGAGAGCCATGGTCGCCCATATCCTGGAGGGGGGCGGTACATAGAAGAAGAAGAGATATATGTAGATATGAGATACACAGGCATATATATATATATATATATATATGGAGAGAGAAAAAATTTGAAAGAAAGAACAAGAGAGAGAGAGAGAGTTGAAGAAATAGATAGACAGATAGATAGATAGATAGATAGATAGATAGATAAGGAGAGACTGAGATAGACGGAATAAACTGCGACAAATCGATAGAGATATATAAAAGATTGATGCAAATAAACTGAGATAGACACACACACACACACACACACACACACACACATATATATATATATATATATATAGATAGATAGATAGATATGAACATACTACACTGCGTGCCAAATTATTATCGAGACAGCATTTTTTCTAATATTTCAAAACTGTCCAATCAATGCACACAAAATTTTCACTCAATGTTGGCAACACTGAGCTGCGCAATCACTGAAATTTTCGTAGTGATCTGCGCAATGTAAACAAATTGGCGTCATATTTGTTATCAGCACGGTAATTTGAGCGTGCCAAATTATTAGAAAAGTATAAGAATTTAGTGAAAAGATGGGCCGTAGAAGCAGTTTAAGTGATGCTGAAAAGAAAACTATTACCTCAGAACTCTCAAAAGGTAAATCTACCCTAGAAATTTTTAAAATGATAAGGAAGTGTCATCAAACAGTGAAAAACTCACCACCGACCTTAAACAAGTACGCAAAAGGGCAGATAAAGGCAAGCCATGGGTTATTTCACGTTTTCTCATGTCACGACTTAAACGAGAGGCCACGAATAACCCTGGACTTACCAGTCAAGAGCTTTTCAGTCGTATTGGGGATCCTACTGTGTCTAAAAGTACTCGGTGTCGGTATCTGAGGGAAATAGCAACAACAGGCAAACCTGTATCGAAGCCTCCGTTGACGAGAAATCACATTCAAAATCGAATTAAATGGGCCGAGGACAATATGAAAATTGACTTCTCTAAAGTTTTGTTCACAGACGAAACACGAGCAACACTTGATGGGCCAGATAGCAAATTCTCCGGATTTGAACCCAATCGAAAACATTTGGAGCATCATGAAGCGAAGACTGTACACCAACGGACAATTCAGGAGCAACGCTGAGTTGTGGGAGGCAATTCTTGACATATCTCGTGGCATTACAGCAGATGACATCCTACAATTAACAAATTCTATGGATCGTCGACATTTTCAAGTAATTTCAAAACAGAAAGCATATTCCCTATTAATTTGTTTAAAACTGTGCCTTTGTTTGTATCTGTTATTATTTGTTTGATTATCTCAGTTATTAGCTTCTTTTGATCATAAACATTCACGTTCAATATTAATAAACGTTTTGTTTGCTCAATTCTGGGAATTTTACTAAACCTTTCTAATAATTTGGCACGTTCAAATCACCGTGCTGATAACAAATATGGCGCCAGTTTGTTTACATTGCGCAAATCAGTAGGAAAATTTTAGTGATTGCGCAGCTCAGTGTTGCCAACATCGTATGAAAATTGTGTGTGAATTGTTTGGACGGTTTTTGAAATATTAGAAAACAGTTATCTCGATAATAATTTGGCACGCAGTGTAGATAGATCGATAATGTAAATAAACTGATAGCTCGATAGAGATATATGAAAAAATTGATGTAACTAAACTGAAATAGATAGAATTAAATATACGTAAAAACAAACTGAGATAGTGTTGTGGAGTTATTTCGCAGTGGATGGTTGTATTTGTACTAAGTCGCTCCTAAAATAGGTCCGACGTACAAAACGTTAGGAACTTGATATAATAAGTATTACGCAGAGCAGTCTTGTTGTGGTCACAGATACTTTTGTATTCCACTAACTGTCGTCCGACATCGACTGGCTGACTTACTGACTAGTATTTAGTTACCCCCCACGAGGGCATCATGTGGCACAAGGCCGGTTTAACGTGGTATCTCCGAGCCCGTGGGCTCGGCTAAAAATATACCCTTTGAACCCGTATAAACGGGTTCAGGGTCGGTTTACCTCCCCGAACGAGACTCCGCCCTTCGGTGTAGCCTCGTTCGGGTTCCTCCTCGTCCGAAGGTAGAGAGTTCAACCGTTCAGCCGGTCGTCCGACATCGACTGACACAGTATTCAGTCTCCCCCCCCACTGGGGCAACATGTGACACAAGGTCGGCTATTTATTGTGGGTTCCCGAGCCCGTGGGCTCGGCCCAATAATATGCCTGTTTGAACCCGCCTAAACGGGTTCAGGGCCGGTTTTACCTCCCCGAAGGAGACTCCGCCCTTCGGCGTAGCCTCCTTCGGGTTCCTCTCCGTCCGTAGACAGAGAGGTGAACCGAACAGTCGCTCAGAAAGTTGAGCGAGTGACTGACTGATCGACCTTTCTCTTACTACTCCTTCTTATATTAGGTGGGAGAGTCTATTAACTATAGAATAGGTGTGTTTCCCCATAACAGATAGATACACATAGATAGATAGATAGATAGATAGATAGATAGATAGTAACAGACTGAGATAAAGAAATATGAACAGACTTTGATTTCAAGTTTATGTAAAGAAATGATCCAAAAACCTCGACTAAAGGCCTTGCAATAAGCTTACCTGCAGCTGACAAGAGAAAACTCTTGACTGTTGAACCCCACTTAATTTTACTGAAGACGGAACTTGTATGATGACCTTTATTTAATACTAGCAGTAGAGCCCGGTGTTGCCCGGGGATATAACAGTAAGAGATAAATCAAGTATTTACCATCATAAAGACTGGAAAATAAAATTGACAAAGATTATTGTTTAAGGTTGACGAACACGCATGTCTTAATTTTTTTTTTTTTACGAATTGGTCAAACCCAAACTCAAACAAAAACATTGTTTTCAATCGTTATGAGTCTACCGATTGAATAGAATTTTATTATTATATTATTTTCAAATTGATTTCGTGCAAAAACTATTGTATTTTTCCAATTTTTGGCGCTGTCAGAACCACCGCAAGGTAATTTTACATAGTCCTGTGAAGTTTTGTTGAAATCGGTTGAAAAATGTAGGAAATCCGATCCAATATATAAACGTACAGACACACACACACACAACCTGGGTTTTATAATAAGTATGATGTTCTCACATATCGTTTATAGTGAAATGTGAATTTTCTCTATGTATTTTCAAGAAGATATAATATACATAGATTTTTGCCACGTCTAGATACAGAGGTGGGACGAAAATACCAACATACGTTGTGTAATTACTTCAAGACAGAACTGATAGATGGTAAACTTCCAAATAAAACTTAAATCTTTGATAACAACACTGCGTTTTCATTTATTTGCCATGCTCTTCAGGACGTCTAAGTAACTTTTAATACTTTATCGAACATTATTTTGTCCTCCATTCATAAAAATACACCTTTATTAAATTATCCACGGTCTCCATATCCTTTTCTTTTCCAGTAAATTCTACGAGTGTTAGATTCTCCAGTCCTCTTTCCTCATAATATAACCCCAAAATTTGAACTGTTATTTTCTGATTGTTAGCATTTCCATGTAGGATCTATTTTCCTTAAATCTTCCACACTGTTCATAGATTCAGTCTATTATATCTTCAGCATTCTTCGATAGAATCGCGTCCATGTTGTTTCAAGTTTCTCCTTCATGTCCAATATTCACTGCCAAATAGAGCATTGGATATTACAGAATAGTACAGAACTCTTTATTTTAGTTCTAACGACATTTTCCTATCTTTTAACATTTCGCTTAGTTTAGGAAAACCTATTAAAGTGCAAATGAACTGTATGGGTTAACCCCCATCTAACTATATGTAATGCCCCAATAAAGTAACCGTGGAGGAAACATGGAAAAACGCTATAATACCTCTCCCGAGAACAACCCAATCAAAAGTATCTAAAGTTAGAGCTATATAACGTTATCGCATATTCAATCAATTTGCCAATTTAAAAATTCTTCAAAATTATCTACAAGTTTGTTTTTTTTTCAGTTAGACAAACAATGTATTTACTTCGTAAACAAGTGACTTTGAAACACATTTTATTCAGATATTGGTTAGTTTAATTTATCGAATTTGAGCGAATATTGTCGCGCATCAATATTAACTTTCTGAAGATATTTAGAATTCTTCTTTTGATTTTTTTTTTCAAAAGGTCTGTTGCTCTACCAATTTCTCTTGGTATCGTTTTAAACTTTGAAACGCAAATTTTACAACGCCTATTATTCTTTTGGACTTTACTTTTGTCGGAGTTTTTACTTTTGAAACATACAGGTTTTCACAGTGTTCAATGATTACCTTTCTCATATGCTTTCTACATTTGGTAATTTCTCCACTTGTGTCTTTTGATAAAAACTTTTTTTCTTTTTCAATGTGGGATGAGATGTTGTAAGGACTTTCTTTTTCTGGTAGCTTCTACTCTTTTTTTTTCTTTCTCTCATTAATTTCTTGATTAGTTTGATTAATTATGCATTTTCAGTTTTATCTCGCTTAGTTTATATGTCCATATTTCTCTTTTCCATCAATTCTACTCTTGACTTTGAGTTATCTCCCTTTGTCATTGCGATTTCTGTTTGTTTTGCCAATGATTCCTGTGGCTTCTTTAATTATAGTTGTAAATTTGCTAGTCGTATCTCTCTAATCGTATTAGGACATGTGTTCATTTTGAGAAGCATTTTTGTTCTCTCGATTTTAATTTTCACTCTGCTAGTTACCATTCTGTAATCACTTCTCATATTAATTTGCTTGATGATTGTCAGATCCTTAACAGCAACAGATTTGTCAGCAATTATGTCATCCATTTTTTTTTGTTCAATCATTTAGGATTTTGCTAGTTCATCTCCGACCACATCGTTTTTAAAAAATGGTATTATTAATTTTCATTTTTCATTTTTCTCCGCCAATTTAACTAACAATCACTCTATTATATTTCTCTTCAATTCCTGAGCTTTTCATGCATTAGTTTCCTCATATTTCTTTGCCACCATGTTTATCCTGAAGTCGCTCATGATTATGGCGCATTTAACATTCTCTCTGCCCATAATCACATTGGTATCATTGTACTAACCTCCAAATTTCTCATCGGAACTTTTTAAAGTTGATATATAAACACAGATCAATTTGTTACAATATTCTTCTTTTTTTATGCGCCGTGTCCCTTTAGGACATAGCGATCATGGCTCTCCACTTCTCCCTATCCTTTGTAACTCCCAATAATCTCCTCTCTCTGCCACCTCACCCAGACCACGTTCTATCACCCACTTGCTTAAGCCCGCCAGCTATGCCATCCGTTGCTTTCTCTTGTCCCTCTTTCCAGCTATTCGACTTGTGACTATCAGATTCTCCAAGCCCTCCTTTCTCATTACGTGTCACAGAAATTTCAGCTGCCTCTTCCTGATGTTAAGTATAAGCTTCCTCCTTGTTTGCATCCTTTCCAAAACCTCGTCGTTGCTCACACGTTCGGTCCATGATATCCTTAGCCTTTTTCTGTAGAACTATACCGCCGTTGCCTCGAGACCATCTTTGAGGAGACCGTCCAACATTCGCTGCCGTAAAGGAGGACAGATGCCACGTAGCAGCTACGGGAATTATACTACGGGAGTTGAGGCGGGTCCGTCAAACGAATTTGACGCATCCCGAACGAAAGCGGACTAAGCGTAGCAGATGTCGTGTTCATTTGTTCTTGCAAATTCATAGTAAGAGTTTCAGTTTCCATGTGTGAATCCAAATGGAGCCCAAACATATTGAAGCTGCTTTGAATTCAGAGTTTCCTTCTCCTAGACTGGTTACCACCCAAGGATATTTATCCATAGTTGGGGGGTGAGAAGAGATGGATTCATACCTTTCCCAACGCTTTTAGCAGGTAAGTAGATGTTAAGAAACTCGACTGGAATTCGAACTTGGCTCTCTGATTCCTCAATCCCCCGCCATACTTCCACCAAGTTATGCGATCACGGATATTTAGTTATTCGATCTTCAAACGACATCTTCTTACATCGTTATTCGGTGTCTAATATTTCCAAATACGTATTAATTTTCGGAACACAAATCTGAAAATGCAAAGCGAAGCAAAAAAAGAAAAAAAAAGGTATATACAATCCATCTAAACACGTATTCTTGGTCGAATTATTTCTGTTGCAAAACCCATTCATTTACAACCCTTCGCCCTATCGAATATTGACTACCAAAATATCACATTCCAACGATCGCATCTTGTCTAATGCCTAGAGATGTTAATGTTTCCAAAAGACGAGAATACATTATCTTCATGACAGTTTATCTTCTATTTCTGTTTTCCTTTCTTTTCTTTACGTTTTTTTTTCTTATTATTTTACCTCCTTTAATACACTCGTTGAAGGCGAAAAATACATTTTTATGAAAGAAAAGTAATTACGTTTCGCTTCGCTCAGAAAAATTACTTGGCGGATAGTTTTGCCAATCTTTGTTCGTTTGATAAAGCGAGATATTTCACGACAAGTTCATAAAAAGAGATAATATTCCTTTGTAGAAAATAACAAGCCTATTGTGAAGCGTTTGCACGTGCTGTAATGAAATATACCTTGCAACTTTAACATAACATTGCAAACGAGGAAAACGCATACTCTTTAATACGCATGCACACACACAAACACAAACACACACACACACACACACACACACATATATATATATATGCATGTACGGTTTTATCAGCACAGAAAAATGACTTGCTAGACATGTGTATGGCTTCAGCCTTAACTAGCGAGGTTTTAAATATATATATATATATATATATATATATATATATGTGTGTGTGTGTGTGTGTGTGTGGGTGGGTGGGTGTGAGTGTGTCCGGAAATAATCCAGCTATGTAATATAACTGTCAAAGCAATAGTCCACTTCAGAGTACTCCCCGAGAGATCTTAGACACTTATGCCAGCATCCCTACCATTTTTTTTTAAACAAAGTATCTTTTCGGGATTGTCATGTCTGAGATCCATTCGTTTCTGTAGTGGAATCAAAAGACCGACACCCCCAACCCCAAGACACACACGCATTAAATAGGATTCAAATACAAAATGACTTACTGACACAAGTGTTCACGCATGCCTTGCACGTAAAAAAAAATGACCGGCAATAAGCTCACGCGAGGTTTTACGAGATATGCGTAGAGATATAACGCGAAACCAAATTACTGTGGGTAATTTCTGTTTCTTCTACTTGCCTAATAACTGGTGAATTCTTTGAGCTGTTTTAGCTGGTGTAACTTGGAATTAGTTCTAAACTATTGGCGCTGACGCGAATTTTTACAAATTGCTTTCTGGTGTTCCAACGAACTTGAAGAATCTTTTTCAACACATTTAGCTGCAGTTTCCAAGCCGGATGCCAAACGGGGCTAAATTAAAATTTTAAAGCAATACGCGCATAAAAAGTAAAAGAATACATCGTTTTTTTCTTTTTTATTTGAAAAGCAGCTCTCACTATTCTTTAAGTTTGATATCTAATATATTTTTCTGCTTGAGAAGTAAAGCCAATAAGTGTAGATCTTAGAAGTATTTAACTTCAAATATCGTCTCCAACATGTCGGAAATCGAAGTAGAGAAAAAAAAGGAAAACTAAAAGCCTTCCAGTAACAGAAAATGTGAAATGATTTATCTAAAAAATAAATAAAATGGAAGAAATTAAACGGATTGTTCCAGATTTTATAAATTCTTTGGTTTTGCTTGCAGACTTCTTTTGTTGCTCAAGAAAATAAATATCATTGTTTCTCTGAAAGCGGCCATCTTTGTGCTGCCAATAAATTTATGTTACCATCTTCTGCAAAAGATACTTTACAAACGTATACATAATTGGATTGAATAGTCAATTACTGAGAATTTTGCAAACGAGTCATGTCTAAATGGCATGATCCAGTAGTGCGAAATTGATTGTGAAATGGTAATTGGTAGTAACCTATTTTAACTAAAATTTACACGTTATAATGTTTTCTTTTTTAACTAGTATTTAACTTGTAAATATCTTGATTAATTTATTTTAAAGCAATTTTAGTTAAATGTTATTTCGCTTAGTTTTTAAACGGAATTTATTAGAGTATCAATCAATATCCCAAATTATTCATACCGTATTTTTGGAGTTTTTTTTTTTTTTTGTAAATAGTCACTTTAATCACCCTATTGTAAACATTTTAAGTGTAGTTAAAAATAAAAAGGAAAGTTATAAAAACAAATAAGATATAATAAAGAATTTAAAAGGGGAGAAAGAGAAAGAAAAGTAAGTCGTAAGACAATCTAATGTAATAAATCGCTATTTTTTTATTATATATATATATATATATATATAGAGAGAGAGAGAGAGATAGATAGATAGATAGATAGATAGATAGATAGATATAGATATATATTGTTGTTTTTCTTCTCTTCTGCTTCCAAAAAACACCCTGTTTTGGCCGCATGTAGGAAGATCAGTACAACCAAGCATACCTGATCTATAACATCGAATAGCCCAAGTGAAGTCTTGATTAGTTGCCGTTTTCTGGGGGAACTTATATAATGCACGTCCTAAAGCTAGTAGCAAATTTAATCTGAGTGCGGGCCGAATATTGATCATATTCTGTCGGGTCGCCCATCGAAGAAGTCTGTTGTTTATTTAGACCCGAAACTTCTAGTGACATGGGAGCGACAACACTGACGACTCACCTAGATTCCGCACTTAACGATGTAATTTTAACAATGGTAATATTAGCCGTTTCCTTATAAGGAAACATTCCACATTCACTGATTGAACCGTCTGCCGGTTAAAATTTCTAAAACATCTTTATTAAAACAATTTTTCAAGAGAATAATTTTTTCATGTTCACCGGCTGCTATAGCCCTTTCCAGTATTGTATTCTTTTCTGTCGTAAATGTATGTTTGAAGTCGTGTGGGGCGTCAGCATCAACATGTCATTCTCTTTTAGTTTCATATGCTCTCCTCAAGTGATGTGTTTTCTGTTATTTGTTAGTGATTATGTAGCGCCAATCCACGAGGTTTGAAGGACAAGATCTACAAGCATCACTCTCTCGAAAGCTATTTTAACCACTGATCCGAGAAAATTATTGTAGACAGCAGACATTTTAGGGGATTCTGAACGACTTTGGCACCATACATAACATCCATAGAAAACGTTCGATCTGGTAAGATTATTTAAGCGCATGACTTGTGTTTAGATTAAAGTTTTGGCTTTGCAGCAACTTGCGGTGTTGCGCAAAACTACCCCTAGCATAACTTACTCTATGTTCAGTTAAATTATCTCTTATTATAGATTTATTATAATTGATCTATAGACGAAACTAACTAAATATTTAGTTCATCCACATCGGGAATTTTTATAATGGTTTCATGGTATGTGCCATCACTGATTTCAATTCAATTGTAGATCATAGTTTATGCATAGGAAAAGTTTATTTTGGGTTTTATTTCCTGGAATACTTGGTAAAGGATGTCGATATTTTGTTCAAGATCATTCTTAACCCAAATATGAATACCTATCCTCACTATCTGCACACTGGACTCAGGAAGGTAAGTTGAATCGCTGTTTTCTATTAGTGGCTTAGTTTGGAATTAGTATAAAACTTAAATTATCAATCCTCATTCTATCTATCTATCTATCTATCTATCTATCTCTCTCTCTCTCTCTCTCTCTCTATATATATATATATATATATATATATATATATATATATATCCACACACACACATATATATATATATATGGTGTAGCATACCTGCGGACGATAATGGGTATGCTCCCATTACAATAAATACAGTAGTGAATACTGTATATGTTGGTCGGCCGGCCTGCAGTTGGAGATTTGTTTTCAGCTGGGCTGGTTAAGCTCTCTGCCTCTGGGCAGAGAGTCTCCTCCGACGGGAATATGCCGATGGGCACATGTTCGTCTCGGGAAACACCTACTCGACCCTGGTTTATACGGAGTTTTCGGGGAGTTTGGGGCTGAGCGTACAGAGACAGACAGACAGACTCACATGCATATATATCTATCTATCTATCTATCTATATATATATATATATATATATATATATATATATATATATGAAGAAATATAGTCTTAAGTTGTGCTATATTTATGGAGCGTGTGTAAATATAAAAGTAAACATTGAAGTCAACACTAAGAGCCGACAGGCTGTTTCATGTTAGATGCAATCGTCAGGTCTTGACGATTGCGTGTTGCATAAAACAGACTGTCGCCTCCAAGTGTTGAATTCAATGTTCACTTTTATATATATATATATATATATATATATATATATATATGTGTGTGTGTGTGTGTATGTATGTGCGCGCGCGCGAGTGTGAGTGTACGTGTTATGTTTACTGGATTACATTAATGCACGATAAAATTTACATTTTTATGCATTTCTGAATTAAGAGTTGTTCCCTAAAATTCAGAAAATTGTTTTTGAATGCTGGAAAATATCCGCCATTTTCAAACGTTCAACCTTGATGCTAAATGATCCTTTATTATCCTTTAGATTTTTATAGCTTTCTGTAGATCCTCATCATTAGGCATTTTTTTTTCTTTATGTTTGGAGGCAGACTTTATAATAGCTAGATGTATATTGGTGTATGTTCTAATTACGAGGGCGTCGTCAAGTCAATGTGATCAGGGTTGAAGTGTGACTCGATGTTTTTTTTTTTTCAGAGCAGATCTCATCTG